GTCTACCTTTGCCAAGGAGGACACGCTCGTGCCCAGAGTGTTCGTGGATGCAGTTCAAGACCAGAGTGGGGCACTCAGGGAGTGCCAGCCCTGACTGACCGCCTGGGCAGATGAGCCGTGCTAGAGCGCTGCACAGCCAGAGTGGCCTGGCAGTCCCTGAAGGTCCGCAGGGTGCGTTTGGTGACTAGGTGACACCTTCTTATGATTCCTAAATCAGCACAGTACAAAAAGGGTTATAATGAGATATCTGACTCCCACCCCTGCCCCCATCTGCCTTCTTCCCTGTCCCCCCTGTACCCCTCTTCTTGGTGTCTTGTGTAGCCTTTGAGAGTTTCCTCACCCAATTTTGTATCCCCACTTTCACTTTTAAAACTTATTTATCTATTTGGCTGCACCAGTCTTAGTTGCAGCATGCAAACTCTTAGTTATGGCACATGGGATCTGGTTCCCTGACCAGGGGTCGAACCCAGCTCCCTGCGTGGGAGCTCAGAGGCTTAGCCACTGGACCATCAGCAAAGTTCCCTCCCCATCTCTTACATAAGGTAGCACACCATCCACTCAGGGTTGGACCTTGGAAAGAGGTGCATTTTATTTTCGGAACACTCCTGATCTCACATTGACACGATATCCATTCTGCCTACGTTCTGGTTTATTGGTGAAAGCAAGCACAAGTCAAGGCTTTAAGAATTTAGTTAGATACACAGGAGGGCCTGTCTACACCACGGGAATGCGGAGGGAAGAGGCCCAGTCAGGCTTTCCTGTGGCCTCCCCAGAGAGTTGCTTAGTAACTTATGGTCATATGGGGACAAGGATGAAGGAGGGTATGTTTGTGTCCCACAAACGGCCTGCCGGTGGGGATTGGTGAAAACATTTTTAAGTCTTTCAACCATGGAGATCCTGCCTGCTTATCATAAGCAAAATAAATAAAGAAATCAAGCAAGAAAGTAACCTCAATCCCACTTCCCCAAAGTAACTATTGCTAACATCTGGGCCAGAGGTTCATGCCCCCATTTCATAGGAGAGCGAAACTGAGGCAATAGATGCGGGAGTGCTTGGGGGTTGGTGTCCTGAGAGAAGCCAGTTATGAAATGGGGGTTGCACCTGCTCTAGGCCCGGCTGCTCCCAGAGTTTAGTTGGGGGAACAGGGAGGGCTCAGTGCAGGCAGAGGGTTGGTTGGCTCCTTCCTCACTCTACCTGTCTCCATGCTGCCTTTTCCTCTGCCTTCTCGTGTTTTCCACTTCTCCTCTCTGTGTCCACATCTGTCCTTGGCCCTTGTGCAATTCAGAACAAGAACTGATTCTCACTGACTAGGACACACGCCGGCCTCACAGGGCACTCAGCACAGAGGGCGTTCAGCACACTTCTTGAAAGGCTGCCCTGACCTCCAAGGCCAGCTCTTACTCCTAAGGGCTTGCAGGGGGCATTTGGGTGTTCTCCTGGTGGCTCAGGTCACATGCTCCAGACCTTCCAGACAGGGTGTCCACTGGGAGCTGCCGGCCCCTGGCTCTGCCTGCCTGCGTCTCCCGCCTCTGGCCGGTCAGCCCTGTAAGAAGGCGGGCAGCTGAGGGGGCAGGCCTGAAGCCCTGTGGAAAGGTGACCGGAACAGTTTTTCTTGAGAGGCCCTCTTTAATCATGCCCTGGAGGACTGGGGCTGCAGCCATCTTGGGTGAAACCTAGTCCTGACCGTACATACCTGGTCAAAGCTCAGAAACAAAGGGCAGGGAGGTCCTGAGCAGCTGAGGACTCACCTGAGCCAGGTGGACTCACACCAAGGCATGACCGAGGCCTGGCAGTTAGGAGGTCCTCAGTAAATGCATGTTGGTGGGTTTAGGCCTGGGAAGGGGGTGGAGGAGATGAGGGGACAGCATCCTATCACCTTAGACAGCTTGTCAACAGGCTTAGTGCAGAAAGGACAGAATTTGGTATCAGACATGGATTTGAGTCCTGGTACCTCAGATACGCAGATGACACCACCCTTACGGCAGAAAGTGAAGGGGAACTAAAAAGCCTCTTGATGAAAGTGAAAGAGGAGAGTGAAAAAGTTGGCTTAAAGCTTAACATTCAGAAAACTAAGATCATGGCATCTGGTCCCATCACCTAATGGGAAATAGACGGGGAGACAGTGGAAACAGTGGCAGACTATTTTTTGGGGCTCTAAAATCACTGCAGATGGTGACTGCAGCCAAGAAATTAAAAGCAGCTTACTCCTCGGAAGGAAAGTTACGACCAACCTAGATAGCATATTAAAAAGCAGAGACATTACTTTGCCAACAAAGGTCCATCTGGTCAAGGCTATGGTTTTTCCAGTGGTCATGTATGGATGTTGAGAGTTGGACTGTGAAGAAAGCTGAGCGCTGAAAAATTGATGCTTTTGAACTGTGGTGTTGGACAAGACTCTTGAGAGTCCCTTGGACTGCAAGGAGATCCAACCAGTCCATCCTAAAGGAGATCAGTCCTGGGTGCTCATTGGAAGGACTGATGCTGAAGTTGAAACTCCAGTACTTTGGCCACCTCATGCAAAGAGTTGACTCATTGGAAAAGACCCTGATCCTGGGAGGGATTGGGGGCAGGAGGAGAAGGGGATGACAGAGATGGCTGGATGGCATCACCGACTCAATGGGCATGAGTTTGAGTAAACTCCGGGAGTTGGTGATGGACATGGAGGCCAGGCATGCTGTAATTCATGGGGTCGCAGAGTTGGACACGACTGAGGGATGGAACTGAACTGAACTACTTCCTAGCTAATTAAGCTAGGGCAACGTATTTCCTTTTTTTAAAGCTTTATGAAGTATAACTTACATACCATAAAATCCATCACTTTAAGTGTACAATTTGACAATGTACAGGTTAGTGTAACAATCGCCATAATCTGATTTTGCGTGCATTCTTAGTGGTTCAGTTGTGTCTGACCCTTTGCGATCCCATGGACTGTAGCCCTCCAGGCTCCTCTGTCCATGGGATGTCCCAGGCAAGAATACTGGAGTGGGTTGCCATGCTCTCCTCCAGGGGATCTTTCCCACTCAGGGATCAAAACTGTGTCTCCTGCATTGGCAGGTGGATTCTTTACCACTGAGCCACCTGGGAAGGCCTGTAGCATGTGTATTTCCCATTTATTATTGAATAATATCCATGTGTGTATTACACATTTTATCCTTTCATCAGTTTTTCAACATTTGGGTTATTTTCGATTCTTGGCTATTTTGAGTAATGCTGCCATAATATCCACGTGCAAGTTTTTGTGTTGGATACATGTTCTTCTCTCAGATTGGTACCTACAAGTGGAACTGCCTGGCTACTCTATGCTTAACTTTTTGAGGAACTACCAAACTGTCTTCCAAAGTTGCTGCACCATTTTACGTCCCTACCAGAGATATACATAAGAGTTCTAACTTCTCCATATCCTTGACAACATTCGTCATCATCCTTTTTAATGAAGCACGACACTAGTGGGTGTGAAGTACTTTCTCACTGGGCTTTGATTGAAAACAGCAACCCACTCCAGTTTGCTTGTCTGGAGCTTCCATGGACAGAAGAGTATGGCGGGCTACAGTCCGTGGATTTACAGAGTTGAGCATGACTGAGCAATTAACACTTAACTTTTGTAACTAATGGTATTGAGCATCTCTTCATGAACTTATTTGCCATCTGTAAATCTCCTTTGGTGAAATATCTATTAACATCTTTAGGGGCCACTTATTTAACCTCTTAACTCTTAGAACGAGCTCCACCAGCACCAGGGTCCCCATGTTCTAGATGTTTCTACTGAGCCATTCCACACAGTCTCATTTCATCATTTCATACTCACCAGAACCTTTTGATGAAGGATGACCTCTGTATTTATAGGGATGAAATCCTGTGGTCAGAGATACTCAGTAACTTCTCCATGGTCACCTAGTTAAAACTGGTGGAAATTAAGACGTGAACTCAGAGCTGCTGCTGAAGACAAAGCCACAGGCAGGAGCTGCTGGGGAAGAGCACCAGGCACACAGCCTGCACGGGGAAACCGCAGGACTGACCAGCAACTCAACCGGGGGAAGTTGCCAATCCCCTCTAAGCCTCAGTATCTTCTGTAAAGTGAGGAAAAGAATAGTTCCTCCCTTGGAGAGCACTTGTCTGGGTCTGATGCAGTGCTTGGCCCATTGCAAGGCAGGCAGCTTCCTCCGTCTAGGATGCTGCCCGCTCCCCGACCCCACAAAGTGGAGCATTGGCCCACCTGACCCTAGGGGCTGGGCTGGAGCAGAGTGTCATTACAGCTGTCAGGGCCTGGCCCCTTATTTCTTCTCATCCCTACTTCAGTGCTGAAGCCAGGAACACCTGGCAAGGGTCTCAAGTTCTCTAAGATAATAATTTGAGATTAAGCATAAGAAAAGCAAGGTAATAAAAAATAAAACTTTATTAAAGCAGCCAAACTTAGCAACATTGAATAACACATTTTCAATGGTACACCTATGAAGCAAGAGTTCAATATAACACAGTCTAAGATGTGTATTTCTGATTGTGATAATTCTAAGTCACTCACTTCTTTTCCTTTTACCATTTCGAAGAGAAAAGTCCTTGTCATGTTTCGTACACCTTGACTCAGCAACAAACTGACCCTGCTGTGGGCTGCAGTGGGAGGACCCCAGTTGAAGAGGTCATCGACTGACAGTCTCCAGGCCTGCCGACGGAGCTGGGGCTCTGAATGGAGTCCCAGCCTCCCTCTCCTCCAACTGTGTGAGGTCTGCATCTGGTTTCCAGTGTCAGCCACCCCTTCAGAGCATCTTCTAACACAAGACAGGAGGGGAAACCACTGCTGCTGGGTCTAACAGACGGACAGGAGGGGAAACCAGCGCTGCTGGGTCTAACAGACGGACAGGAGGGGAAACCAGCGCTGCTGGGTCTAACAGATGGAAGGTGGTTTATCATGAGGACCTGAAGCTGACAGAGCCTCTGTCAGCTCGCCCTGCATGGCCCCCGCAGCCAAGGGCTCTGGACACAGGGGAAGGCAGACCCAGGCTGCCTTAGTCCTTCTTGCCTCCTGGGACTGGGCTTCTCGTGAGGAGCTTCCCTGAGCTGGCTGGGGTCAGTGTGGTCACTGTGGGGGATTCCAGCTTCACTCTGTCCAGGAGGGTCTTCTTGAGGGCAGCTGGGGAGATCTTCTCTTGATCAGCCATGGACTGCAGCTCTCTGGAGGCAAAGTCCCAAGAGGTTGAAGGAGGAGCTAGAGCTAGATACATAAGGTCTCCCCATCCACTTAGCCCCAACCCTTGCTGACTTGATACCACCCGAACTTAGAACCCCAAACCAAACACTCCCGTAAGCTTCTCAGAAGTGCTTAAATAGCACTAAGTATGGCTTACTACACAGATGTAGGGCTTCAAGCAGTATCTGTGATCAGCTAGGCAGGGAGAGAGTGGGGAAAAAAAAAAATCACAGAATTGGGGGTCAAAGACTTGAAGTCTAATCCTACCTCCATCACTTACTAGCTGTTTGACTTTGGGAAAGCTGTTATCTCTAAACCTCAACTTCCTCATCTGGAAATCAAAGCTAACCCCAGTTATCAGAACTGTGTAAGAATTACATAAAGTAAGGCCTGCAAACCCTTAGACTAACAGAGTCTAATAAGTGGGTTACTAACACAGCACAGACTCCAGCAGTGCTAATGGGACACAGAAGGCAGATTCTGTAAGACACTGACAGCCCACACGAGACTGGCTCCAAGTGGAGGGCCTGGGCAGAAAAGGAGAGAGACCCACCGTGTTCGGATACAGGAGGCCTCAACCGCGTTGATGAGCAGGGAGCGGAAGCCCCCGCTCTCTAGGAAGTGCAGGGCGTGGATGGTGGCCCCCCCAGGGGAGCACACATTGTCCTTGAGCTGGCCTGGATGCTGTTCTGAGTCCAGCAGCATCTTGGCAGCTCCCTAGGGCAGGAAGGGCCATCAGAAAGGGCCACCAGGGGAAAACTGCTGGTGCCCCTTGGGATGAGCTTCTCCACACCCACTCCTCCCCAGTCCCTATCCCAGCTTCCCCACAAAGCCCTGTCCTGGCTCAGAGAGCCCTAAGAATCCCATCCCATCCCCACACCAGGTCCAGAACACACAGGGAGAAGATACTAACCAGCAGGGCCTGGGCCCCCAATCGGACAGCCAGGCGCCGCGGCAGGCCCATCTTCACCCCGCCGTCAGCCAACGCATCCAGGGCCATGAATGCCTGTGAAGACAATCACTGAGCCCCGGGGCTGCAGGCACTCAGGGGCGCGCGCAAAGGTCTCTTCCTGACAACTAGCTCCAAGGGTCAACCTCCTCCACCAGACAGCCTCACCCAAGAGGTAGGCGACACCCCCAACCCAGGCTTGCCCGCCAGCCCATCGTGCATCCCAGGGTCCCCAGAGGGCCTCACGTAGGCAGGCCCGCTGCCGCTGAGCCCTGTGACGGCATCAATCAGGTCCTCCTCCACCTCCGTGCAGAAGCCCACGCTGCTCATGAGCTGCTCCAGGAGCTGCCCGTCCTCCACCAGGGCGTGGGTGCCCGTGGCATACACTGTCGCACCCTCCCGCACCACCACAGGTGTGTTGGTCATGCAGCGGATCACCTTGGGGGCTGGCTGGAATGCCATCAGCTTCTGGGGTGAAGGCAAAGGGCCGAGTGAACTGCCAATCCCACCAGCACCCACCCCCTCCTCCCATCACACAGGGGCACCGGGGCTGAGTTGGACACCTTTTCCACAGAGCTGATGGTGACGCCAGCCGCACAGGACACCACGATGTGCCTGGCCTGGACATCCGCCCCGATCTCGTCCAGGATGAAGGGGATGATGTGTGGCTTCACGGCCAGGAACAGGACGTCACTGTGCCTGACCGTCTCCTTGTTGCTCCGGGTCAGGTTCACACCCATCTTCTGCAAGAGGAGACCACCAGGCTTACAGTGTGTGGCAGCCTCATGAGCCACGGCCCTCTCAAGGAGCAGCTGAACCCCTCCAAGCTCACATGGCCAAGGGCAGCCTGGAATTCCCTGCCCTGTTCCCCTCAGAGTTTGCCCCTACCCCCATTGCCTCGACGTTTTCCAGTGTTGCTACTGGGCAAGTGAGTGCTGGACATGGACAAGCTTCCTCATGGCAAACAGGAAATCGCTGTCTCCCATCCCCACCAGTTCTCTGGCACCCAAGGCACCCCTCTGCCAGGTAAGACGTCTCCATGGCTGAAAAGTGGCACAGGTAAAGTGAAAGGTGAAAGTGCCCAATGGTCAGAAGCAGGGCTCTATCCCAACCCCGGACACATGTTCATCAGGGTGCCTGGTCTCTGTGTGGTCCAGGGGTGTAATGGAGGACACCCCTCTAAGACTTCACACTAAGAAACAAGGCTCTCCAGTGATGGCAACACCTACCATCCCAGGCCCAGACACTGCCTGTTACCTGCCGCCTGCCTCATAAGCCATCCTCTCCCACACTGCTCAGGTTTTGGGTGAAGACTTGGGATATTCTTTGTTTAGAAAGAGGAACAACTAACTTGCCAGGTTCTTTCCCAACATGCTCATTTACACCTCAGAATAGCTCAGCAAAGTGACTACTGTGGGCTTCATTTTATAAATGCGGAAACTGAGGCTCAGAGCAGCTAAGTACCTTAACTGCTTAAGCTAAGTACCTCAGCTAAGTACCTTAACTGAGCTAGTGGATGAAGCAAAGTGACTATTTTATTGGGTACCTACTATGTGCTAGGTGCTTTCCACACATCAAAACCTCAACTAACCTTCTAATCACCCCAGTGTCTGGATTGGAACCCAAGTCGGTCTGCCTGGCTGCTCGCACCACCCTGAGCTGCCCCAGGAAAGATGGAGGATAGTGATGCTTCTGGTGGTGAGGTCAACGCCGGCCACGGAACAGCACAGCGGTTCAGCTCATCAGGCCACCCTTCTCCTGGGTCTCCGCCGCCTTCCCCACACCCTCATGCCCCACGTACCCTGAGAGCGGACACCGTAGGCAGGTCCATTTCCGGGGAGCTGGCTATTATTTTGTGAGCCGACAGGATGCCTACAGAAGACAGGGCTTTTCAACTGGGGATCATGGCCCACCCGGTTCTCATGTTTTCCTTGGGAGAGCAGAGTCAAAACCCACGCCACTCCGACCGTTGTGGAGGCGGTCGCTGGTGCCCCCCTGCCCCTTAATCCCTTATTAGGGATTTGGGAATCCTTAATTCCCTAGCAAACGCAAGTTCCCCTTTCTTCATTCCCTCACGTTCGTGCGGCGGGGGGCGGTCACAAGCTAAGCTGGGGACCTTCCGCGCACCCGCCTCCCGCCCTCAGGCGCTTACCTGCTGCAGTGAAGCCCCGCGCCAAGGCGCAGGCCAGCTGGCCGGCGCCGATGAAACCCACGCTCATGGTTATCCGGACTCCGCGTCTGCCCGGCCGCCGCAGGAGTCCGCTCAGAGCAGCCCTGAGAGAAACGTGGAGAACCGAGAACGTAGTCGGCCCGGCTACGAGGCGCCAGATCCCGGGAAACGCTCGCAGCTTCCGGCCTCGATTCCACAACCCCGCCTCTCTCACGCTCACCCACCAAGCCGCTGGGTTCCAAACGGCCCCGCCCTGCCAGAGAGACCAATCCGCGGCCGGGACGGGGCCGTGTGCCCGCCTTCTGACACGGGATTGGTGGGCGGAAGCTCCGTCACAGCGCGCGAAGCCCCGATCTCCGCGCCAGGGACGCCCCCGCCCGGGTGTCCCCGGAGCCCCGCCCCCACCTGCGGACGGAGGTTGCCGCTGGCAACCAGGCGCGGCACTAGGCTCAGGCCGGCGGCGAGGTCTGGCTCATGTTATTTGTGGCGCTGGCCGTCAGCCGCCTCTCGAAAGCTAGAGAAACCCTCCAGGTTGCTGATTTGAGGGGGCGAATGTGACGCTCCTGGTGAGGCTTTAGACTGGAACGTGGAGGCCCGTGAGCTGCAGGCTCCTCCGTGCACCCGGGGATTATCTAGGTTAGAGCTGGGAATTCCCTCATTACCGCCCGCACCCTCTCCGCGCGCGCGAGGAGGCGGTGGGGAAGCCCCGGTTATTTACTTGAACTTACATAGTTTACGCGATTGGTCTTTTTAAACTAGAATTGCAAACAGAACCAGTTCCTCTGTTTAGAAAATGATGGGCTCCTTAAGACCTGACTAAGTTGTCCCCCGACCATGCTGCTTGCTTTCAAAAGTTTCACAAATGTGATGTTTACTTTTTCATCACTAATAAATTTAAGAGAATTGATGCTTTTGAACTGTGGTGTTGGAGAAGACTCTTGAGAGTCCTTTTGGACTGCTAAGAGACCAGTCCATCCTAAAGGAAGTCAGTCCTGAATATTCATTGGAAGGACTGATGCTGAAGCTGAAACTCTAATACTTTGGCCACCTGATGCGAAGAACTGCCTCATTGGTAACTTTCCCTGATTAGCAAGTAATATATACATATTGAGAAAAATTTGGAAAATACAAAAAAATAAAAGAAGTCAAAATCACCCATAGTCATACTTCCTAAGGATCGTTTCTTGCAGGCATTTTTGGTGTATCTGCTTACACATTATTTTCTGTGCATACAGACCTTTTCCATCATTGGAAATAAAATGATACACATATGGTTTTGAAATTTCTATTCTATATATACAATAAATATTTTCCAAAGTTACTGTAAAGTTACTTAAAATAACATTTGGTGACTACTTAGTATTCCATTATACAGATGCTCAGTCATTTAGATTTTATTTTCTTATGATGACCTTGCTTACTAAAGATCCATTTTGTTTGTGCAGTGGCTCCTGATGTGGCTCTCACGACCATTATGTCTGGTGCCTGTGAATTTCCTTTGGAGGCAAGTGTTTATATGTATAAAAACAAGTAACAAGTGAAAGTCACTCAGTTCTGTCCAACTCTTTGCAACTCCTTGGACCATACAGTCATGGAATTCTCCAGGCCAGAATACTGGAGTGGGTAGCTGTTCCCTTCTCCAGGGGATCTTCCTAACCCAGGGATTGAACCCAGGTCTCCCACATTGCAGACAGATTCTTTTACCAGCTGAGCCGCCCCGGAAGCCCTGGGAGTAAGTGTTGAATAGATGAGATGGGATGGGATGGGAGGGGAGGGGACGGGACGGGATGGGACGAAACAGGATAGGACCTCCTCACCAACCCAGCCACTTAGGACACACCCTCAGGAAAGGTCACAGGCTGATGCTTCTATTCAACCACAGACATACACTCTCCTTGTCTGGCACCTGTCTTCTTGGGTACCTACTCTACTCCTTTACTCCATCTGAAGGGACAGAGAAGCCCAGAAAGAAAGCAGGGAGTTCACTAATATTCCAGGACCGCCCACCGCACTTCTCTCCTCTGATCCTCTCATCCACCAGTCAGATGGGTTCAGCTGTTCCTGCCCTTCCTCCCTTCTCACTCCTTCACAGTCCTGCCCCCCTGTTCCCCTCTAGCTGCCCCAACAAAGTGGACCGTGCTTCATTTTTCTGTCTCAAGGCCTTCCTGGTCTGTCTCTGGATAGTAGGGTCATCTGTCCTAATGTTAGGGGAAGCACACTGATTGAAACCTCCACCCTGGCCAGGCACCATAGTAACTATTGCCATGAGTTGTTTTACCACAGGAGGTCCTGTCGTAAAGGAACACGGAACTAATAAGCCACCACCAACCTGAAGAGTTCGGGAAAGGTCAAAAGACACCACATGTCCGACTACCTCCCAGAATCCTTCTTTCTGGCATCCATCTTGGCTGAACAAGGGTGCACCACCAGGAAAGACTCTGAGTCAGAATGATTGGCTAAAGACAACCCGGAAACTAATCCCATCACCATAAAACCCGAGACTGAGTGACATGGCAGAGCTGTTCTCCTGGGTTCCCTCACCCTCCTGCTCTCCACCCGGGTGCCCTTTCCCAATAAAACTTGCTTTGTCAGCACATGTGTCTCCTTGAACAATTCATTTTCAACTGTTAGACAAGAGCCCAGTTTTGGACCCCGGAAGGGGTCCCCCTTCTTGCAACAAATGGCGACTGTGGCAGGACTCTTCTCTGCAACTGGTATCCTGACCACTCGGGGTACTCAAGGGCCAGCTTGCCTGCCAATGGACCAGACCCAGCGGCCACAGCTGGGACTCTTTTGTCCCTGGTCTCCTCCTAATGGGGACAACTGGCCAGAGTGCCCCAACCAGGTAAGGAACAAGAGACTTTATTGACCTCTCTCCCCTGCCCTCTCTCTTTCCTCTGCTTAACTCTTCCTATCCTTTCCCTTTTTTCTAGTCCCCCAGTCCTGGTTGCAGGAATCTGGCTGAAGGGCCTCAGCCTGAGCTGAGGTTCGGAGACTGATGACCTCCTCTTAGCAGAGAACTCAAATTCTGGTTCTGTTCTGGTCTGATTTCTGGTAGGGCCGAGTTACAGTGCTCCCTTCTCTGGAGGCCCAGGGTTAAGTCCCATAATGCCTGGGTATCTTCAGGTGGCAGGAAACATCTGTAAGACCACCCTTTCTGCCACCACCGCCCCCCCCCCCCCGCCTCCTCCCCCTTCTTTCAACCTGGTTTCCTTTCCTCCCTTTGAAATGTTTGAAGACCTGAGATATTTTCCATTACTCTGTTAGTACTTGGATCTAAAGTTCTGTGTCTTTATAGAAGGTTTTCTGAGAGACTGTATTCTTGTATTTAAGGGAGTGTCTGATGAGGACTGCCAGGTCTATATGTGTGTTTTAACTGTGTTCTGTGTTGTGATTTTTGATGGCCATTTTGCTTTGTCTGGCCACCATTTGGTTTAGACCTGCCGCCATTTTGTTAGAACTTGATTTTCTTTCCCTGTGCCTTGAGACAGGGCTCTGGCTCTGTCCTCAGAAACACTTATCTAGACCATCTCTAACCCCTGAGACTGAGGGAAATTGGAAAAAAGGCTTTAAAAGTTTTATTTATTCCAACTGTTTTTTATAAACTAGTAAATTTTATATTGTAATATCTAATTCATGACTAAGCTTAAAAAATGAAGCTAGATCTTGCATTGTGTCTGTCTAAAGATGTCTTGGTATGTCTTTGTCTCTGGCTAATATTTTTGAGGTTAATTTGTAAATGAGCTCTATTTAAATGGCTTAAAGAAAAGTAAGTGCTTACAAATCAAATAATTCTAAATTAAACAATAAATTCCAGGTTCATGTGAACTGGGAAATATTTAGTATTAATACCTGATATTAATGTTTATTTATTGACCTATCTAATGTAAACATGTCTTAGAGTAATTAACATTAAGTAGAATATTCTCATTGTACCTAGGTTTAATATAAGTTAAGTATTATCATATCTGTTGCAAGTTTGTCAACAAGGAAATTACCTCGAGTGAAGAAACTTCTTAAAAAAAAGGTAAATGAAATATGAACTTTTGGATAAACTCTATCAAGAATAATTATTCTTTAGAAATATCTGTCTAAAACAGTCTCTCCAGATGGGCATAACTTGAATTTCTAAGGGTTGTCCTAAACAGAGTGTTGGAAGTCTGTTGAATAGTTAGGTCATTTTCAAATAAAATAAGATTTTAAAACATTTACTACTAAACACTAATTTCCTTTTACAGAGAAACAAAGAGGTTTGGGACTATAAATGAATTATGTTTGGTGCCATCCTAAAATGTTCTAAGAAAGCAAAGGTTTTAAAAATTATCACTGATATTTATGCTCACCAATCTATAAAATGCTAATATAAAATTAGTTCTTGGTTGCTAAAGGAAAGTAGGAAGTGTGTTTTCAGTTAAAAAAAAGGTATGAAAAAATACTAAAAAGAGTTATGCATGATCAGGATTTTCTAGAATTGGATTACAATTAGTTAGATAAATGGATTTTGTTAGAAATGACACAGCCATAAGAAAACTGGCTAGAGCCAACTAGGTCCAAGATGGCGGAACTGACTTTCACTAGACCTTGAACCTTGGTATTTATGCCCATTGTGAGGTATCAACAAGCTAAATGATACACCCATCAACATTAACTAAATCTGACCAAATGTTCTAAACCCTTTTAATTGATCTTTTCGATAAAGCTTCCTAACTTGAATTCTTTTGAAGTTCTTTTGACCTCTAGCTAACTTTGGGTGCTTCAGAGGGCCCCTGAAACATCCCAAAGATAGATATTAAACTGTGTTTATTTGGTTGGTTAAACTACATGAAAAAGATTATCAAATGAGTAATAAATCTGCTCATGTTATAATGTATGGTAAAATTACTAATACAGATATCCTAGAAATTATATGGAGTTCTTAACATTCTGATATGTCCTGGTATTGTAATGGAAAACCTGATGATGTCACAAAAGTTAACAAAGAACTGAATGAACCAGTGAATATGTTTATAACTTTTATGGTTTCTATCTGAAAAATTACAGGTTTGAATC